CTCCTCTGCCGTCTCGTGCTCTCTTCTTTCCTCCTCTGCCCTCCCTTCCTTCCCTTGCCCTCCCTTGCCCTCCCTTGCCCTACTCTGCCCTCCATTTCCCTCCCTTGCCCTCCCTTGCTTTACTCTGCCCTCCATTTCCCTCCCTTGCCCTACTCTGCCCACCCTTGCCCTCCTTTGCTCTCTCCTGTCCTCCTCTGCCATCCCTTGCTATCCTCTGCCCTCCTCTGCCCTCCCGTTCCCTCCCTTGCCCTCTCCTGCTCTCCTCTGCCGTCTACTGCCCTCCTCTGACATCCTTTGCTCTCCTCTGCCCTCCTCAGACTCCCTTACCGTTTCCTCCCCTCCTCTGCCCTTCCTTGCCTTCCCCCGACCTCTCTGCTGTACCTTTCTCTCCCTTGCCCTGTCCTGCCGTCCCTTGCTCTCTCTTGTCCTCTCCTGCTCTCCGCTGCCATCCCTTGCTCTCCTTTGCCATCCTCTGCCCTTCCTTGCCCTGCCCTGCCATCTCCGCCGTCCCTTGCTCTCCTCTGCCCACCCTTGCATTCCCTTGCCCTCCTCTGCCATCCTTTGCTCTCCTTTGCCCTCCCGTTTCCTCCCTTTCGAAAGGGAATTCCCTCCCTTGCCCTACTCTGCCATTGCCCTCTCCTGTCCTCCTCTGCCATCCCTTGCTATCCTCTCCCCTCCTCAGGTCTCCCTCGCCCTCTCCTGCCCTCTCTGTCGCGTCATATGACTGTAGCATCGAACAAAACACGTGTGTACGGCCGTACCGTTCCTTGCTCTCCTCCGCCCTCCCTTGCCCTTTCCTGCCCTCCTCTGCCCTTTCTTGCCTCCCTTGCCCTCTCTGCCGTCCCTTGCTTCCCTTGCCCTCTCCTGCCGTCCCTTGCTCTCCTCTGCCCTCCTCTGCCCTTCCTTGCATTCCCTTCCCTCCCTTGCCCTACTCTGCCCACCCTTTCCCTCCCGTGCCCTCTCCTGTACTCCTCTGCCGTCCCTTGCCCTCTCCTGCACTCCTTGCCCTCCTCTGCCCTCCTCTGCCCACTCTTGCTCTCCCCTGTCCTCCTCCGCCCTCCCTTGCCCTTTCCTCCCCTCTTGCTCTCTCCTGTCCTCCTCTGCCCTCCCTTGCCCTCTCCTCCCCTCTCTGCCATGGTTGGTGTAGGTGGCTTGTGATTGTGGAGAAAAGGTGGGATAGCAGTGAAGGAGAGTGGCTTGGAGGTGGACAGTAGGAGATGCTGGTCCCGGACGGTCAGGGTCAGGAGGGGAGGGATCTCAGTGTAGTAAGCGGGAGCAGGCAGTGCCTGTGTGCCATGCCTTTCTCGGGCGTCTTACGAGGCCCTAAGTGCTTTTGTTCTGTCTTATACTGGGCTGCACCTGGAAGCCCGCAATCCCCAGGAGGACACTGCTGTACAGACTATTTCTTTGCCTGGATGGGTAATGGAGCAGTGAGGTAATGGTGGCCATGCTGGGTAGGTGTATGTTGCTAGTGTTCTGTTAACAGCTGGCCTGAAAGGTTGCCTACCCAGGGGCCAGGAGGGTGTTCCCATTACCGGGGTGAGTGCTGCAGCTGCATGCCCACCCCTGCACTGTAATTTTCCTCAGTCCAGGTGCTCATCCTTTCTCACCCTGCAGGGTGAGCATCCCATCGCGAACGTGGTGGGATCCTTACACAAAGGTCTTAGTGTAA